AAGGTTAACATTGTTAACCTTTCCTACCAGCAAAGCTAACGACGTATAGCCATAGACACGGTCTTAGGAAAAAGCTAATATAACAACTAAAGTTCAAACCGGAGAGACGTGATGTAAGAATTACATATTTATTGTTTACACGTCATATGAATGAAATGATTGCCATGATAATACAACAGGAGAATGTAATGGTGTTTGGCGATTAGGCCCCGGTTTGCAGGATAATCATTCAGGAGGGAAAGCACCGCTCCGATGAAATCCCCGGGGTCTAGACACTGGTGGTGGTGATGAGTAGGTGAGACCGGTCTGAAGGAGGAAGGTTTAGCTTTGTCCTGAAGGAGACAGGAGGCGAGAGGGGTGGAGGCGGGTTGCGTGTGATCATCTGCAATGACAACTGACAGGGAGGAAGAGCAGGCATTTAAGGCATTTAGCATGTGCAGCTATTGGCTGCTGAGGGGTGACGCCCTCGTATTTAATGAGGGGGGAAGGGAGCCATAGAGTGACGTGTGAGTGACTCGAGTTAGGTCTTCCTTATTGAACTTGCGCTAAAGCTTTCATTTCAAACCGGAGAGACGTGATGTAAGAATTACATATTTATTGTTTACACGTCATATGAATGAAATGATTGCCATGATAATACAACAGGAGAATGTAATGGTGTTTGGCGATTAGGCCCCGGTTTGCAGGATAATCATTCAGGAGGGAAAGCACCGCTCCGATGAAATCCCCAAAACCAGTGAAGTATGAATACTGAGATGAACTGAGTTGCTTACCTTGTGGGGTGACTGGTGATCTGGGAAGGAGAGATAATAGATTAACACGTATATGAGCGACACTGTGCCGGAATCACTGCCGGAGCTTACTGGTCATGCTGAGACTCTGACTGCCGAAATCAGTGCCGGTCTTACCTGAAAACGACCTGCGGGTCGCATGCCTGGCCAGCAGGGCTTGACTACGCCGAGGAGCGAGCGGTTTCGTTTTGTAACGGTGGCCCAACGTCCACGACACCGAAGTGTACGGTAGCCTTCCGCTACGACACCGAAGTGTACGGTGGCCTTCCGCCACGCCTGACTTCGCAGGCTATATATATATATATTTTTTTTTTTTTCTTTCTCTTTCCTTTGTTTTGTAACTGACACCGAAGTGTACGGTGGCCTTCCGCCACGCCTGACTTCGCAGGCTATATATATATATATATCTTTTTCTTTACTCTTTCTTTATTTCCTTTGTTTTGTAACTGACACCGGAGTGTACGGTGGCCCGAGTCCACGCGGACTGCAGGAAATACATTTTACACTGATACGTTTGAGCAAGGCCTGGGAATGAAATACCTGTGTGCCGGAGATGAAGCCCGTTACATGTGGTTGCAGCGTGAGACGAGACATTATTCCCTGTGGGCGGGGCCCGCGGAATTAGGACAGGAATGCAGTTTTGAATATCGGGAACCTTAGTGAGACATGTATACTTGTGAATGTGTTTGAGCCACCACCAGTTATATGTATAACTACCATAGTTAGGGTCTGAGAGATCTTTGGGAAGCCCGTACGGCGCTGATGTCCGGACGAATGAAGGTTGTGAAGGCGGAGGAGGACCACCGTCTTAGTTGTTGTAGGGATGAGGTAGAGAGACCTTGATTAGCAGCAGAGGTGGCTGCACCTATCCTGAAGGAATGCCCCGGGTATGATATGGGTGATAGGCTGGATTTAGTGAGAACTTGCTTGAGGTAGAAATTGACGGGGCCATGACCCTGCGAACCACTCTCCCTGGAAGAAACCCCCCAAAACCCATGGATGGGCGGCATCCGTGAAGACCTCATTGAGTCAGAGGAACGCACGAGGCCATCGTAAAATAAAGTAATTCCGTTCCAGTGGGCGAGCAGGAGGGACCAGAACCGAAGGTCTGAGCGGCAGCCTTCGTCTAAGAAAACGCAGTCATGGAGGTTGTCGACCGCTGATGCTGCGTCCAGGAGGCGGGAGATGAACGAGCGCCCCTGGGGGATGACGTGCATGGCGAAGTTGAGGTGTACGAGAAGGGAGAGCGACTGTTATTTTGTGATAACTTGTTGCTCGCAGTATGACTTGGTGATGTCCTGGATGCGCTGCGATTTGTCTGAGGGGAGAGACGCCTTCATGTCTATGGAGTCGAGGATGATGCCTAAGAACTCTAAGCGTGTGACGGGACCTAACGTTTTCTCTTTGGAGAGAGGGACACCTCACTCCTGAAGCAGTGTTTAAGCTTGGCCAGTGAGATCCCTGAGCTGTCCTGTGGCGGGTTTATGGGGAGGAAGTCGTCCGGTAGGTGAAGGACGGAGGGGATTCTGACGATGTTCAGCAGGATCCAATAGAGCGCTTCCGAGAAGAAATTGAAGATGCAGGGGCTGCTTCTGCACCCGAAGGTCAGTCGAACGCGAAGATAGAGTTTGGACTCCCACTTAATACCGAACAAGTTCCACTGAGACGGATGAATGGGGATGATTTGAAGGCATCGGTAATGTCCGCTTTGGAGAGCCGAGCTCCGTGCCCTGTGAACTTGATCATCTTATTGCATTATCCACTGAGGCATGGTGAAGGGAGAACTGATCTGGAGGGATGATGCTATTGACGCTGCAGAATGGGCCGGAGCAGGGAGCGGACAGATCGAAAATCAGCCTTTTATTTACGTGTGGCTATTCCGATGGGATTTGAACGGAACACTGAGAAGGGGGAGGAGCTAAAAGGACCGATTATATATCCTTTGAGAAGTTCTTTGTCGATGAGCTGGGAAACTATGTTGGGTTCTTTAGCGGCTGACTGTAAGTTTCTTGCTACGAAAGTCACTGTGGGAGATGGGAGGACCCCTACCCTGAAGCCTTGGGAGAGCCCTGACGGGAGATAGTCAACAAACACGGAATCTGTAGATAGCGCAGCTGCTGGCTGAGGGATGTTAATGGGAGTGGAGGGGTGATATTCCAGAATGTTTTTTTTTTTTTTTTCTTTTTTAGTTATTTATTTATTTGTTGATGTTTCTGGCGCAGAGCCACTGTGACGGCCCGTCCACACGGTGGCGTGCGTTACAGCTTCCAAACGCTTCTGCCCATTCACTTTGGATGGGGTGACGTCACTTTTAGTAGAACTGTATTTTGGGAAGCGACGTGGAGCGTTTGCTGGCGTTGCTCGCTTCAAAAAGTTGAGCAATGTTCAACTTTTGGCGCCTCGGCAGAAGCGTCAGCCAATGAAATCCCGTTTATGCAAATCTGCCGGTACAAGCGCTAGCCAATCAGACCGCGTGTATGTTGGGAGAGGCTACGCAGGTAATTCCTCATATTCCAAAAATGTGAGGGAAAATTCATTATGGCGGTAGTGAATCACCCGGTGCTGTATGATCAGTCTCTGTTCATCTACCGGGATATAAACCAGAGGAGCGAGGCATGGAGGGAGGAGGCAGAGACAGTGGGTGAAACTGGTAGGTTTTCGCCTGTTGGGGATTTTTTTTTTTCTTTTCTCCAGTTTACTTAGTTTTAACATTGCTATTGCTTTGTGTGTCGGGGGCAAGAGATTCATGTGATTGGTTGTTGCTGCTGTGCGGACCAGTAGCGTAGGCAGAAATGTACTTTAGGGTGGGCCAGATTTTTCTTCTGCGCATCGGAAACTAACCACGATCCCGCCGGTACCGGTGGCAGATTACTTTTAGAATACTTCCTTTCCTCTTCTTTTTCTTCCTCCCTCCTCTTCTTTTTATCTTTTCTTTTCCTCTTCTTTCTATCTTTCCCTCTTCTTTTTTATTTCTTCTTTCTCTTTAGAATACTTTCTTTTCCATAACAGATGGGTATGTTTTGGTGAACGGGAGACACGTATTTTACTGTTTTAATGGCTTATGAAGAGCACGAACACAACATTTTAGTGTCATTCTTGACAGCTCTCTCATCTGCACCGCACATAAAAAGAAAAACTCACCCAGACTGCATTATTTGTACTGTCTTAAAACCTTTCCTTGGAAAAGTTTATGCATTGTAAGGTGTCCTTGGGTGCTTTGAAAGGCGCCCCTAAATAGAATACATTATCATTATTATTTATTATCTGAAACGATGTAATCACTTTTAAAACTTTTCCCAGTTACTTGCCCCATGCATTCGGCAGCAGCAGGCCATTCAGTTAGATTTGATCCCGTTATGAATGTCATCATTTCGACAATAAATAAATGCTACATAAACGTTATCTTCCACGTTTTATCTAAACATCTCCGTTTCTACCTTCCAATATGTTTTGAAAGAGAACTCTCTCTCTCTCTCTCATCTGCGTGCGGGGCGGGGCCTCACGGACACGCTGCATCTCTCGCTCGCAGATACGCTGCAGCGCTGTGCACACGGTTCTGCCGGTAATGAATATTACATTGTGAGGAAACTTTCGACCAATAATTCCAATAAGTATTCACTTCAGGTTTACGAAAGTAACTGCACTCAGTTTACTCGTTTTTCAAATGTAACGCCAGCTGAATATACTGATTTTTTTTTCTTTCTTTTTTTTCTTTCTTTTTCTTCCGATTACGTAACACCGTTACATGTATTCCGTTACAACCCAACCCTGTGTAAGGGTCGAGTGCAAACGTTTTCGTTAAAACTGGTACCTGAGTGCAACGGAAGTTGAAGCTCCTGTGGCGGAGTCTTCCAGAGCCTGGAGGCGAGCATCGATAGCTATCATGGAGCTAGCCAGGGATTGCAGGGAGCCGGCCGCGCTACTCTCCATAGGGGTGTGTGACGCTCCCGGACTGGCGAGCCTGAGAAGGGGTGGATTTTTTGGAGGGGGACGGGATCCTGGGAGGGCTCGACTTCCTGCCCTTTTTTACCCTCCGCGGCTGCGGCCTCGTCCTGCTCTCTGGGAAGCTGGCTGGAGCTGCTGCCCCGGACTGGGGAGCTACGCTGGAGACCTGGTCCGAGAGCTATCGCCGCTGAGAGAGAGTGAGGCCTGGGGCTGTGGGAAAGCCCTGCTGCAGGAGCCGGGCGATGAGGAAGTCTTCCTCTGTTGATAAGCCGCTGTGGGGAGCCGAACCGGGATCGGAGACTTCCAGAGAAGGTTCGTGTTCCGAATTGTCCGAGTTGGACATCTTGAGCTAGTTGTTTCTTACGGTTTTTCTCACGAGAAGCAGTATTGTATTGCAACTACCATTGCGTGTGATCATCTGCAATGACAACTGACAGGGAGGAAGAGCAGGCATTTAAGGCATTTAGCATGTGCAGCGATTGGCTGCTGAGGGGTGACGCTCTCGTATTTAATGAGGGGGGAAGGGAGCCATAGAGTGACGTGTGAGTGACTCGAGTTAGGTCTTCCTTATTGAATTTGCGCTAAAGCTTTCATTTATCCTTACTGGAGCAGCAGGGCTAGCGGTTCATATAGAAGGTTCCTTGGTAGCTCAAACAGAATGCTAGCTAAAATGCTTAGTTTGAATCTTCTCCTTAATGAGACCCGCAGGATCGCGGCCGACTTTACTGTCTTTAAGCGGCTGTACCGGGCTCGGTTTTGAAGCTGGTAATGATGATATCATATGAAAGTAGATGACCTAATGGCATACAATGGTACCAACCACGTGATGCTAGCTTGTCGGCAATGGGGCTAAAAAACATTCTACATTTTGGAGGGAAAAACTGACATGGCAATTTCCACAGGGGTTTCCTTGACATCTAACTTCAAGATACCTGTATGAAAATGGGTTCTATGAGTACCCACGAGTCTCCCCTTTACAGACATAGGCCTACCCACTTTATGATAATCACATGCAGGTTTGGGCAAAAAACGTTTTTTACATGCAGTATAATGTGTTAATTACGCCTTTTCATAATGGTGTATTTCAATATTTCTGCATATTGGGGGCCCTATACAGTCTTGGAATTGCATTAATTGGGTTAGACTGTAAAGCGGAGACTCTTGTGGATCCAATGAGCTCAATTGTATTAATGTGTGATGATGTTAGTCCCCATAGTAGTCATTTCATAGTGAGACCATGTTTTGAAACTTGACATCAATGTATAAAATGAGATGTTGTGACATCTAGGATAATCACAGCCTCATGAAACTGTTCCAACCACAAACTAGAGACATTTAGAGAATGTGTAGCTTTCCTAGCTATATTGACAATAAGGGGGTTTCTGAGCAGTTCCAGAACAGAAGTACTCAAACATGTGAAACGTTTTTCATACCAAATCATCGTTTTAGCCTTCTGACATGTATTCCTAATTTGTCATGTCCTATTTTGCAGCTGGTAACGTGGAAAGTAGTATGCCTGTCAAGCAGCATATTGCATGGAGAAAGAAGGCTGAGATGCTCCAGTCTCAGGTGGATGAGCTAGAGGAGGAAAATGGCATACTCAAGCAGCAGCTTGAGGACAATAATTCTATACAAGAGCAAGGTTTGTACAGGTGGAGCAAAGTTTTACATTAGGGCTCTCCAGAACCTGTGTGGCTTCAAACATAATTATGGCGCAGTATACCACAACAGTATTTCAGCTATTATTGAATATTATTGCCAGCCTTTCAATATTATTTTTTCTCAAGTAACTATTTTTGATTTGGCCTTATATTTTTACATTTAGTGCATGTAGATATTTAGCTGGACAATGTGTAGGGTCACGAATGGCGTGTGTCCATATAGCGTTTTTCACTGAAAGAAAACTGCTGGCAGGGCGCTTGGGAGCACTTCATTTGTTTTTATGACAGTATCTTGACATCGCCCCTTTGCTTTTACCTATTTGGGCTACTATCAATTGCATTTAAAACTGTATAGCCTCCTATTGGCTGCTGCTTTATGTGCATCTTTTGAATTGCAAACAAAAATGGCTGCCAAGCCATCTATTTTTTTATTTATTTATCAGGGACAGTGCACATTGATAAACATTACTGTAAATATGCCAGTTAGCCAAGAGGCTATTTTTCATCCGTAGTCCCTGGACATGTACTTTCTACATTTATAGGTCTCTGCTCAGTGTTATACAAAAGGGGTTTGTAGTTTGTTCTTGATATTCAGGCAGAGTACTGCAAAAGTATTTTGCGTTATAAATCATACTCTTGAAATGTTCAACAAAAATATTAAAAACAATTTAACAGAGAAAATAAAAATTCCCAGGGAATTCATGTCTCTTATTTGGGCTATAATATTTACAATATTTCAGCTATTGTTGTCATTTTTAAGGAATTCCTTTAGGAATTTAATTAACTTCACTTGTGTATAGGCTGTTGACTGCTGCCTTGTCATAGCATATTGGCTCTCCATTTAAAGATGAATTGGCTTAGACCACATGAGCACTAATTGATTGGAATTCATGGAAATACACTAATAGTGATAGAAACATTCTACACAATGCAGTTTGAAAGTAGCAGACTAATGCATTTTCTCATACACAACTCCTTTTTGTATATATAAAACACAAGACATCCCATCTAAAGTGTTGTGCACATTATTTGTACTTCTGCAATGTTTCTTCATACCCAATCTAACCTCCACCGCATCAATTAGTATGCAATTCAGTTCATGTACAACCTCAAACCACCTTAGGTTATCAGTTGCTCAAGCTCAGTCACACCAATGTAATTCTGTAATGTTGTATATTGTGATAAAAGCAGACTCCTCTGGGCTTTAGGCAAATCCTTTGTGGGGACTCAACTTAAAGTTTATTTCTGTTTGTCATTTATCATTCATCAACAGATGGGAACTTGGAAGTAATGGCCACTGGAGATAAGGAGCCGGAGCCCATGAGGTTGGACTCCAGCACGGATTCCAGCAACGATTCCAGCACTGACTCCAGCACTGACTCAAGCTCTACCTCTGACTCTTCTGATGAGGGAAAGAAGAAAAAGAAGCAGAAGAAGAAAGGCAAGAAGAGAAGCAAAAAAGGGAAGAAGGAAAGCAAAAAGGCGAAGACGTCAAAAGGAAAAGTAGAGCGAGGTATAATAAACTAAGACACCTGCTGAATGTATTTAGGTGTTAGGTAATTAGGTTATTATTGTGAGCTTAGTGCTTTATACTGGGTTTGGGTTGGGGCATACAATCCCATTGACCAATCATCATCACTCTTATCACCAATGTACTCTTCATCGTGCCGGAGTGGTTGGGGTGTAGGTTGAATGAACTAAAATAGAGACACACCACATGCTTACTAGAGGTGTAAATCTTCACTGGCCTCACGATTCGATTTGAATACGATTCACCTGTCAACGATTCAAATTCCCAACGATCCTCGATGCATCTCAATGTATTGCATCCTCAATTTTCTATATTACTGCACATAGCAAAACATGTTATCAATTAATACAAGCAGTCAGATAAATCTGAACTCCCTTTTTTATTTAGAAAGTGCTTTCAAAGATCTGACTGTACAGACTTTAATATAAAAGCTTCTTTTCAATACCAGTATCTGTGTGAGCCACCTCACATAAACTTAATAAAAACAAAACTTAAATAATTCTACAGTGCATTACAAGTGTGTTGTAATCTACAACAATAAGGTTTTCACATAGAAGCTCAGTGTTTCCCTAGGCTGACTGCTTTGGGGGGGTGAATGGGCAGGGAGATAACTTTTCAGATTATTCCGACATCATGTGAATGCAGCACAAAGTCGATGGCATTTACACTGCCTAGCAGCTACGGACCTTCCCTTACTCATAGTTCTTCTACTATGCGATATCTATGAGCGCACAGCAGACGTTTGATTCTGCAAGGAAGTGCAACCAAACAAAAAGTTGGGGATATTTAAACTTTTAGTGGCGAAGCGCAGCCAGAGAGTACCCGCAGCCAATCAGTAAACAGAGTCCTGACATGTTGACCTATGTTATAAAGAATTTCTTGTCGCCTGAAACACATGAACACGCCTCAGAAAAATGTCATCATTGTGGCGATCTGCTCTTCGCAGCTGCCTGATGTGAATTTGGCATAACAGAGCAGCTGTTATTGGTAGTGACAGCAACAAGTTAGTGGACTGCAGATCGTTTGAATGCCGCCTCACACCTCCGCACACACAGACACCCTGTGTGTGCGGAGGTGAGAGGCGGCATTCAAAGTGTAAAGCTCTGCCCTCGTTGAAACAGAGATCAGAGGAGAGGAGAGAAAATAGCGCAACAGAAAATGACAGCAGAACGCAGTAAGACTCTCACTAAGCTGATATGAAACCAAACTCCTGATTATGTTCCGTCACTGCATCGATGCAGAATCGTACATCGCGATGCATCTTATAAATGGAGAAATGTCCACACCTCTAATGCTCATCTACTATGGCTGTTTGAGCTGAACCTGTAATGAATAATGAAATATAAATAATGTTCTCACCAGTTTTTACCACCAATATGTTTTTTATCAATAAATAGCCAATTATCTAACTAGATTTGCACACTGCACATACAGGCACACTACCTAGTACCTACTATAAAATACAACACATGTTCTAAAACAAATGGGAAGTCACACACATTCATCCAAGTTGTAGACCCTTTTCAAGAGAAAATATGTGAGAAACACTATGGCTCACCCTGCAACTAAGACATTGCACACAATACACACCACAACAATTATTGGGGGGCCATAACATTTATTGACATTAATGTATTCTTTATTTTTCAGTGTCTTCCATCTCAGATGTGGTGGGAAGATATCGGCGTGTCCTTAGACTGGTGCAGAGAGGCTTCAAGATGACCAAAGCTTTTAAGAAAGCTCATGTTTCCAGGAATGCTGTGAAAGACACTGCAGCAATTGCTGAAGTATTCCTGGTGGACAAAAGTGTCCTAGACCAGTTTAAGGGTAAAACCACACTTTTAAAATTAGCCCAACTCTGTCAGAAGAAAATAGTCGGTGAACTGGCAGAAAAGATTGCTGAAATGAAAAGCAACAAACAGCTCATCCCCTTTTCTGTCAGGTAATTCTGAATGTGGGTTGAGTGTTGTTGTGGGGGGTGTCACTACCCGATCTGCAGTGCGCATGTGCGAGATGGTCCGCCATATTGGATAACTCCGGACGGCAACCGACGGCAACCCAAGTAGGACAACATTGACACAGTGGCTTTTGGCAAAGCTCAAAAGGAAAACTCGAGAGAGATGAGTTATTGTTATTACAACGTGACTTCACTATTATTTAACAACTCTTTTTATTGGGTTCTTTTATTTGGGGTTATGCACATTGTCAGAATAAGTGAGGAATTAATTTAACTTCTGTTAGACAGCTATCATACTGAATACATATTGACTGTGAATGTATGCAAACATGTTTGGCATATAGCTGTCTAACAGAAGTTAAATTAACTTCTCACTTATTCTGACAATGTACTTAACCCCAAATAAAATAATCCAATAAAAATAGTTGTTAAATAATAGTGAAGTCACGTTGTAATAACAATAACTCATCTCTCTCGAGTTTTCCTTTTGAGCTTTGCAAAAAGCCACTGTGTCAAGTGTCCATCTTGGGTTGCCGTCCGGAGTTGTTCAATATGGCGGACCATCTCGCACATGCGCACTGCAGATCGGGTAGAGCTGCAGATCGGGTAGAGCTGCAGATCGGGTAGTGACAGGGGGGACGTTTTTTCATTTTGGGAAGCTACTTTGGGGAAGTGTTTTGGCGACCTGTTAATGATTATGTTTAGATGTCCTTTAGTAGGATTGAATGTGGTTCACAACTGTTCAGTGCTTTTACTTGTAGTATGTTATTAAAATAAAAAAGCTTTCTTTCTCTGATATGCTGCCTATAGTGTTTGTTCTACTGTGCTTTATAACCTGGTATTGACTTCAGTTATCCAGTGTTCGTGATCAGTTGTGCAAAACATTTCGCTTTATTTCCCATGTCTGTTGCATATAATTAGTGGATGAATGTATGTGTTCTGTTGATAGGTTATAGACTTTCTACTGTTCTCAACTGTTTTTCACTTTAATTGGATAGTCCTAACACATGCCTACAAACGCTTAGTGGATAACCTACTAAAAGTATACAAATAGTCAACTCTAGATTAGTTGACGATCAACAGATAGTCAACTAAACTCTAAAGTTGCTTATCTGTTGATCATCAACTAATGCTTAATGTAATAGTCAACTAAACTTGAGTTGCTTATCTGTTGATCATCAACTAATGCTTAATGTAATAGTCAACTAAACTTTAGTTGCTTATCTGTTGATCATCAACTAATGCTTAATGTAATAGTCAACTGAACTTTAGTTGCTTATCTGTTGATCATCAACTAATGCTTAGTTACTTGTCGGTTTTGAACGGTGCTGTTGAATGTCAACTGACACATGTCAACTGATGCACTGTTGACATGCTACTAAATGTCAACTGATGACTTATAGAGTGTTAACTATGGACTATCAAAATAAAGTGTTACCGAAGTCTGCATCACCGACTGTAGGACGTTCGACATTTTCCGTTATGAGTGGAGGAGCGATGAATGAGCTGCAGATAAACTACAATGCTAACAGTGAATTAGCCCCGAGCGAAAAATGCTAACCTATCACTCCTAGTGCGCTTATTACTTATCCTAGCTCCACATCCAACACATTGTTTATGATCGTAAAGACACAGAATCTAAGGGTGCCCACCTCTATAAGCAATAAAACTGCAATTCCGTTATCTGCGTTATCTGCTGTGCTCCGTGCACTTTGAAATCTAATCAAAAGTTGTTTACCTCAATTATTTGGCGTTTCTGCATCGCCCGGCTCTTTCGTTCTTTCAGTGGTTTCTTGTGCTGAAATGTGGAGGGGACGGCTCCGGGTTTCAGCCTCCGACGTGCTATTAATGCTTCTCCAATCTCCACCAACAGACTTCATGATAGCAGGATCAACGTCGTATGCATCACACGCGAAGTGGTCAGAACACAACTTGCTCCATTTTGTCGGTTGCCATCCAACACGATTCACTAAAAAAATCCATTTTTTGCGGATGATTTGGTCTTTGGGAAATGCATGTAAAACTCTCCCAGATCCCGCACCGTTCGTACAACAAAAAGCTCAACAATAACCCATGTTAATTCAGTTTTCTTTTCGAAAAACATGTGACCGAGACTGCCGAGTCGGGATATTTGGTCCAGAGACTGTTTGGCCACTATTACGTCACGTGCGCGGAGGCTGCTGGGAATTGCATGTCAGAAATTCAGATGGCTTTGGGTCGAGTTTTGGATCTATAAAAAGCTTTTTTTTGGGTGTATTATCTCGATTTAAATAAAATAAAAAATACAGGCAGTCTTAAAAACAACATTTCTATAAAAATGTAGCATATTTGGAAGCTTTGCATTTGATCTAATCTAGTACATGACCATTGCATGTATGATATGTGTAATGTGTATTTGTAAAGCGCTTTGAGCATCTGGAAAAGCGCTATAATAAATGTAAGGAATTATTATTATTATCTTTAAAGAAAGATGTACAACAGCAAACCCACCATTTTATGTTTTTTTCCCCAAATTATTACTTGACCAGGACTAAGCAGTAATGCTAAACTACTATAGTTTACAGTACAAAACAGTATTTGCAAAAACATAATATTATGAAAATTACTATGAAGTGAGGAAATATGAAAAATAAAAATCTGAGAAATCCTATAACTTCATCAAATATATCTTTGCTCTTCAGATCGAATGTCTTCCAAAACTGCTACAAATCACTATATAATGCACATGTTCTACTCTGAAACCACCAGTATGACCTATTCTGGTAGGGTATAGGTTAAAAAGCTACATTATTATGGCTAGGTAACAATCCGGTTCATGGTTAAAAGAAAGCAATCTTGACTGTTGGTAGGGAACAGGAAGTGTTCAATAAGAGATCAGATTCTCTCCATTGGCTGCGTTTGACCATAACTTGTTGTTTTTCTTGAGGACTCAGAAGAAAAACTGTTCCCAGAAACATGTTGTATCCTATTTTTCTACAGGGCAAAGTGGTATAATCTCCAAAGAATTGCAAACTTTCATTCAGACATAAAAAAGGAGTAAACAGCACCCCTGTAGCTTTACAGAGATATACTTTGAATTTGTACTGCAGCCTCCTCGATGGTGTTGCTGGGTATGTTTTATTCTGACAAGATACTGTGAACAGCAGTACGAGTCTAAGCTGTGTTAAATAATTAGCTGCAGTCCGATAGTGACAGAGGACTGGTGTGCAAGTCAAGTCCTCCTGCCCGAACTTATGTTCCTACTCACATTGATATATTGGTTCTGTAGTCAGTGCTGGAATTGGGCCGGTACTCACCGGTACGCAGTACCGGCACTTCTGGTTCTGACCCATGGAGTACCGGCACTTCTTGCTCAGTACCGGCATGCTGGCGGTACTCCGGTACTCATGCACCGTGCCAGTACTCAACACTCTCCCGCCGTTCTTATTATACATCCATATATATATATACAGCCGCCCGGTACTCAGTAGATGAGTCACGAGGTGCCGAACGGACATTCTCATCGCTCTAACCGCTGGAGTTTCACAGCGGCTGTCAGCTGTTTACTCCTGCCATTCAAACAGAACGTGCTGGAGAGGGGGCGGGGCTTATCTTCTCCATGTAAATACTGTGGTGGAAACGACTATGTCAAAATTAACCTATTTGACCGTGATTTAATAGTAATACACGTTTCAAAATAATAATAATAATAATGCCGAAGTAACAACATACTGAAAACTGTTAGTAAAACCATGTTTTAATGCTTTACAATTTACATACCTAGATGCACGTGTGTTGTGTTTATGCAGTGCAACTCCCACCCAGTGGGTGGCTATGTAGAGTGATAGAACAGAGCAGGCACGCCCCCGAGAGAAGGAAAGCAAGTCACGTCACAAATTAGCATTTCTAAAATGTTAGCGTGGATTAATAAAAGTGCAAAAAGACAGCGGTTGTCGCCGGAAGAAACTTCAAATACAGAGAATGCTGTGCCTGTGTTGGAAATTGTGTCTGATGGGGAGCTTTCTTTGGTTGATCCTCCTGCTCCAAGTTCTAGTGCATTAGCATTAGCACTAGCTCCGCCGCCTCCTCCAGAGCCTCTAAAGTTAGCTGCTGCTGGCGCAACTGCCACCACCAACACCGGGCAAAGCGATGCACCTGACTGCTGGACAACGGACCAGGTGCAATATTTTTGCAAGACCAATGCATGGCTCCTTCTTAAAGATAAGAAGCTAGGATGTCGGATATGCAGAGATGTCAAATCTTTGGGAATACACACTGGACAAGGACTGAAACTGTCAACTGAATGGGGTGAGTGTGCAGTGTCTCATTTCGGTGTTGACAAGGGCAAACAACAAGCTAGCCTGAGAAAAAAAATCAAAGAACATAAAGAATCACAAGCCCATGTAAAAGCTGCTGACATCCTTACATCTGCTTCACGTGAAACTATTCAACATCAAGTGCAGTCTATGCATACATCTGAATTAGACACCACTATCAGAGTTTTTCGAACGGCATATAAAATTGGCAAACATAGCCGGCCATTCACAGACATGCCAATTGATTTGAATGTACAGAAACTGAATGGGCTGAACGTGGGCAGGGTTTTGCACTCCAATAAAACCTGTGGCGAAATCATCGACCACATAGCTCATGAGCTGAAGAAAAAAATGGCAAAAGACATTACAGAAAACCAAAGAAAACTCTGTGTTTTGGTCGATGAATCTACCACTATTAGTGGTAAAACGGTGCTTGTTGTGTGTCTACGCTCAGTATTAGCTGATGCTGAGCCCGAAACGTTTTTTTGGGAGCTGATCGAGTTGGATGGAACAACGGCTGATGACATCACAAAGGCGTTAATGGAGTGTCTTGGAAGAGATTTTAACGAGGACTTTTTAGGTCAGTGTTTCGTTTCTTTTGCATGTGATGGGGCTTCAGTCATGCTAGGGAAGAGAACAGGCGTTGCTACCCAGTTGTGTAGTCAATTCCCAAGCCTGTTTGTGTGGCACTGCTCCAATCATCGTCTAGAGCTGGCAGTT